CCTTTTATAATTTATGAGAAATAGCCTGGACAAAACAAAGTATGAAAAATAAATAAAAGGCAATAACTCAAAAATAAGAAATGCACCTATGAAGTTTCATGTCCATAGCTTTTATACTTTAGGAGAAATGACCTGGACAAAAATAAAATATAAAAATAATAAAGGGCAATAACTCAAAAATAAGAAATGCAGATTATTGGTTCTTGTACAATGCATATTTTTTATTGAGATCTATCATCCTATGAAGTTTCATGTCCATAGCTTTTATACTTTAGGAGAAATAATCTGGACAAAAATAAAATATGAAAATCAACAAAGGACCATAACTCAAAAATTAGGAAGTGCAAAGTACCGGTCATTGTGCACTGCACTTTTTCTAAATGAGATCTATCATTCTATGAAGTTTAAGTCAACAGCTTTTATAGTTGAAGAGAAATGGCCCAGACAAAATTAAAGTATGAAAATTAACAAAGGGCAATAACTCAAAAATTAAGAAGTGCAGAGTACTAATTCTTTTGCACTGCACTTCGGGTTATCATATATTATTTTGTTGTAAATTTCTAAATTTCCAATTTTACAGGCATGCAGGAGATTAAGTTCTGAAAGAGTTACAATGATATCAAACATGCAGAGTCTTTTTAATTTTAATATGTTCTTCCTGTTAAAAATCCTTAGTTAACTGAAGGAAATTTTAGTTGCCTAGCTACCATGCAAATTTCTTTGATTTTGATGCTTCTGTTCAGGATTTATGTAAATTTTACAAAGTGATTCTACACTAATATCAACATAAAAAATTAACTGACCTATCATTGTCATAGATAAAATAGTGTTCATATTCTAAAACTATAAAATATTTAAAACTTGATAGCAAGTACTGAAGCTTATCACTTCACATTTTATGCAGTCATTTTCAGTAAGATATAGTCACACGAACAACTAAAACTGTTTATTTATCTTGAAATCAAGACTTTAAAAACTTATAAAGACAGGATTACAGTTGATCAATTCATAAAATGCATCAGTTCAATGCAATTCTATACTTAAGGCGACATGACAAATGTTGTATTACACAAAACACAATCACATGAAATGTTTTAACATTATGGAAGTAAGTTACTATTAAGCTGACATAGGCAACCATTAATTAATATGATCCACACACTAGTCAATATAGCATTAGTCCTTATAGCAACAGGCCTCTGGGGTTTTACTATTAAAATGACTTCCAATGGCTTTTTAGATCATCTATAAGCAGTGGGATATTGTGACCATGTCTTGATGACTGCAGGACAATACTGGCAACCTGTTGCATTGTTTCTCCACTTTCCAGAGCATGTTGAGACTGACACTTCCATGAAGTCCTAAAATACATATAAATTAGAAAATTGTATAGGATATAAATAGCACTTAAAATGAAACTTAAAACAAGAATGTCGAATGACACATATGCCCCCTTTTCTAGCCCTTGACTCACATAATTGGTAGTTTTGTTACAGAAACTGCCATAAATGGGTACATGGAAGTGTTCAATTATGGAAAAAAGAAAAATAATGGAGACTTTGTGATAAATAGTTTTCAAAAGATAATCAGATATTAGAAAACTACAGACCAAAAATCAATAGGGGCCACCAATCAAAATCAGAAATATGATGACCCTGTGACCTTGACCTTTGACCCAAAAATTACTATGGTTCATCTACTAATTATGATTAATCAATATGTGAAATATGACAACTTTGTGATGAATACTTTTCAAGATAATCAGCTAAAACCGTTCTGACATTTAAGACCCCTGTGAGCTTGACCTTTAACATAGTGACCCCAAAATCAATACGGGCCATCTACTAGTTATGACCAATCAATATGTGAAATATGACTTCTTTGTGCTTAATACTTTTCAAGATAATCAGCGGAAACCATCTTGACATTTAAAGCCTCTGTGACCCTGACCTTTAACATAGTGACCCCAAAATCAATAGGGGCCATCTACTAGTTATGGCCAATCACTATGTGAAAATTAAGAGTTTGTGATAAATAGTTTTCAAGATATGAACTTCTCTTAATCACTCGGATCAAGGTCAAAGTCAGCTAACAATGGAATTTGTGCCCAACATAGAGGCTCTGTTTTTGGTATTTAAGATCTTTTTTGGATGTCACTGTGGGTTGTGGTTTGAGATCACTTTGGTCAAAATGAAGATCACTGTGGGTTAAAAATATTTTTTAAATCTTTTTCTGATACAGTTGAGGTAGAATTTTTTGTAGAATCATCAAAAATCTTGAATTTATATTCTGTTGTGAGCAATTGTTTTATAGACATGTACATTGTATAAAAAATGACATTAATGCTACTGTGATATTAAATAATATACAGTGAGTAAAGTTGCATTTGTTATTTTTACTTAATATGAATATTTATTTGTCTTGTATAAGTAACAATGTTTTAACATATCACGGAGATACAACCAAATAAGAGTCTTAAACAGACATAGTAATAGTATGTAGGCAAATATTGGGACTCGATGCAACTGGCGCAAGTTCCTTTGATTAATGAGCTCAAGTGGACTTATTTTAGAAGACATAAATATGAAAGGTACAGTGTAACATTACAAAACTTAATAAAATATGTCTGTTTAAACTGTTATCATAGATAAGAGGATGTTATACTTTAACATTAACTGTACTGTACATAGTAAGCTTTAAGGATTGCTGTATGGAAATACTAGTGAAATTGAGCAGCGGGTAATAGTGTACATTTATAAATGAGCCGCGTCACGACAAAACCAACATAATGGGTTTGCGACCAGCATGGATCCAGACCAGCCTGCGCAACCGCGCAGTCTGATCAGGATCCATGCTGTTCGCTATCAGTTTCTCTACTTGTTATAGGGTTTGTAAGCGAACAGCATGGATCCTGACCAGACTGCGCGGATGCTGGTCGCAAACCCAGTATGTTGGTTTTGTCGTGACGCGGCTCAATGGTCTTATATGTGCGTTGTTATTAACATACTGTTGTTTCAATTTTCAATAAAGTTTTGTCACAAACTAAAAAGAAGGTGATTTCATATCATGTAGGTCGTATGTGTATATTGAAACTTTCACTATGATCGAGTCAATATTGATGCACACGACCAAATTAAATTGACTGTAACCAGGGTCTTTCTATTTGAAAGACCCTGCTGTAACTAAGTCCAGCTCCCCCGGAAGATATGATCATTATTTGAGCAGCAACACCTAATTTTTCTCCATGATGCATATTATGGTCTCATTGGCCTCCCATGCATCAAAATAGTAAAAATCACAAAAATCGACTTGGATACATATTAAGTATCATTCTGTGAATTTTATAGGTCACCTTTTGACAGGTAATAATCTTTTAGGACACAATTGGTGACATGTCCTCGGTCCGTACTGTCAGTGCATCGAAGTGCGGATGGACCCTCATTGAGCATAGAACATAAACAAACGCATGTACATATTAAGTGACTATATATTATCATATTTATAAGATAATCAGCTTGAATAAGATGTCAAACAAAATGCCATATGAACTTCATGATCTACTAAAGCGACTTGCTGTAATTAAAGGATGTAAAACAATATGACTGGTGAAATATACTTCAGCTTTATAGGGAAAACTAAGAAACCTATTGAACTATTTGTCTGAAACGTTAAAATATTTGCTTATATCGTATGTAATGGCCATAATATTGATCTAAACTGAAGATTAAAAATACTTCAACATTTGTAAATGATTTATGCCTGAAAAGTCAAAAGTTTTTGTCAATACACGATATCATGTATGCTAATATTTTTATTTCTAAGAAAATACCATAAGATATACTTATTATAATTGATAAACAGCGTTTTGACATAAATGACAGATGGTCAATACTTTAATGTGATATGGCAGTGGTTTCATTCAAAAAACCTTTTTCACTATAATTGTAATGTCTTAATTTTTTTTGTACAAATACTTTATGTAGTGTAGGTTTTACACGTGCGTTATTAAAATATCTGGAAACCAGATAAAAGTATATATAAAAGTTAGTCCGTCAGAAAAAAATAAAATATGCAAGTCTTACATAACACATCAGTAACAATTAAAATGCAGGGCTTAGATCTATTCGATAATTTAGTGAACGAACGAACAAATTTATTTCACATAAACTATAAAGTTTCTAGTGACTAGCCACTACATTTTACAATTTAACATATAGGTGTACATAGAACATACAATTGTTATAGATATCAAAACATATATTAAAAAGATAAGGATATAAAAAAGTATTGATCTCATATTCATGTTGGACAATACATAAATGGACATGTTTGTTTTGTATCATTTTATATATTATCAGAAGTAAATTAGAAACATCATGGTATCAATTCGTTTCGCGTATATTTATTAAAAACATGTTTTGCGTTTTAATGAATTAAATTTTAAAATTATCATAATATTAATCATACATAATTTCGCTTGCTTTATATTGTATAATTAGGTGGTCATGTCCCGGGATTACTATGTATCCAATACGATCCTTGATTTATCGGTTTTGCAAGTCGCCATCATGCACACATAAGTCTGTTGTGTTTTTTTTTTCAATTATAAGCGATACGATTTGACAACAGCAACATTTATATCTACATTTTTTTCTTCTGAGAACTTTAATGAAAAATCTGCACCCCCACCGTCTCCTCAACTTGGATTACTGTATATATTAAATGTTGCCCTAGAGGTTGAACAGAAATGTTTTGAGTCGCCCCCTGACAATTACGAAAACAATAGTTTGAGAAAATCCTTTATTCCAGTCTCATTTCGCTTTCACATCTTTTTTTAAAGAATTTTTACGAGTTGACTAATCCTGACGATTATTATTTAAGGAGTATTAACTAACACCAGGATTACATGTAAGCATATTATTTTAATTATTTATTAATAATTGTTGTTTTTTTTTCTTTTGAGGGATAATTTTCTTTTTTCTTCGGGCTATTTTTTTAGAATACACCAGCTTCATAGCTGCTGCTGATATTGAATAATTAGAACACTTTACAAACAATGAGTTAAGCAGTCTCTCGGTATGTATGAGATAATTGTTTAAAAATTATATATTATGATATAGTTTTGGAGCCTTATAATTGTAATGTTATGTGGTTTTGTATGTGAGTATATCACAAATAAACAACGTATAACTCTAACACAAGTATAGATAAACTCTGGACTACTTTCTAAGCATGCGCATGTATACATTTATATAAACAGTCTCATATTACAATAATGAAACAAGAGAAGTATTATTGATTCATGCGTTGTATAAAGTACTGTTGTATATGAAGTAATCTCTTCCTGTTTTATAATTTGCATTTAAAATAACTTATATCTTCACGTTTTTAAGGCAACATAAGATAATTTGGGTTTAGTTAGGTATTTCTCGGTAGCTTTCAGTATTTTGATACATATATTTAAATGTGCATTCTTCTCTTCTTTTTTGTTTTACCTAGACCACTATACTTTAAGAAAGACAAGAACAACTAAAGAACAAGAAATGCATACAAATGAGAATTAGTGCATAAAACACTTTTTTTCAAATCGAATTTAATTATAAACAGTCAAAACACATGCATGCCTGCATCTATGTTGAACAACAAGTGTGGCGAAAGAGTATGATCAGGAAAAATAATTTGAAGTTGAAAATTACATAACAAAATATACCTTAATTTCCAAAAAATGGTTTATATCATTTCCATTGCTTTAGATAACTAATTTATTTCTTTATTAAGTCAACTTAAGAAATTTAAGTACCTTTCGATATTTCCGGTAGCTTTCAGTAATTCGATACACATATTTATATGTGCATTTTTTTTATTTTACACCACCCACCGTAAAATAAGTATTAAAATAGACTTGAAAACAATAAAAATGCATGAAAAAAGAGAATAATTGTATGATATCACATATAAAGTAAAATAAAAAAGCAGAGAAATAAAATTAACATATTTCGGTGAATTTTGTATTCAAATTTTGTATTCGAATTTTGTGAGATTACCCCACCCACTTTAATCAAGTATAAACCTTATATATTATGCAATTCCTTGCGATTTTTATGATAACAACTGAAAACGCACATAGTTTTTATGAAAAACAAAACAATATTAGAATTTAAGGAGCTACTTGGAATATTTTTGTTATTTCTAGGTAACCATAATAGAAAAATATGCAAAAAATAGGCATTTTTCTTTGATATTTTGAAAATTTTAAGATAAAAACCCAAAACGCTATACATTTCATGTCATTTAATCATAACTTGATTATTTTTGAAATGTTTGCACTTCTTTTTATTGAAAACGGCATAACTTTTGCTGTAAAATTTACCATAATAAGATATATACTCGTTTTGCATAAAATCGGCGGCCATATTGGACGCCATCTTGGATTCTGGAGCTTTGTGAAAGCAAAATTTTGTAAGATTTGGATTTTTGTAAAAGAGAGACTATATACTTACTCTGGTGTAAGTTTAAGATTTGGACAAAAAATTTGATTAAATGGCCCTTGGCTCTTAATTAGGCTATTTCTAAAATTCAAATTTGACAGTGTGCGCCAAAGAACCTTAAATACTTTATTTAAGGATAATTCTTACAGTATTAAGTTAAAAGTTAGCCGCATATAAATTGTATGCTTCTATTTTTGTAATATGCACAAAATTAGCAAATCTATACCGATATTATTCTTTTTTTATTCATATTTGTTTTTCTTTTTAAAAATTATTTTCCGGTTCGGACAGTAGAAAAGATGTTATATAAGTTGACAACATTTATTGCTATATATACAGTAAACACAAATATTATTATATCAAACGAAGATGACATAAATCCAAATGTTCATACCAAGGGGTATTTTTGTGCCTTTAATTACCTTTGACCTCAAGATTTAAAAATGTCAAATTCTGACCTTAACCACGGCTTTGCTTTTTCCTTTCCAAGTTATTGCTTGGACAAGAATAAAGATGTACGTATGAGGCGTTCAGACATATGTTCAGACAAACCATCCTATCAACATATGCTCCCCACTTATTTAGTTGGGGAATAACAACTGAAGAAATTAATTAAAAGGGTAAAACAACACTAAATATTGCAATTTTAAACAAAGAAGGAAAGAATACATGCAAATACTCTACATATGCGTACAGTAAGAGTTAATGTATTCTTTGAGAAGCCTTATATATATAAAATATGAAACATTCAAATTACAAAAATAAACTGGATATTGTAAAGATGATTAAACTAAAATTATTTTGATATTATGCCTCGATTAGTCTTTCTACTTTGTCTGTCAAATTAAAACAATTCAGTCAGTTGTGTCATTAAAAGCTTATAAATAATTTTAGTTTAATCATCTTAACAATATCCAGTTTATTTTTGTAATTTGAATGTTTCATATTTTAAAGGTTTCTATAAATAAACTAATTTTATAGGACTGCTGCATACGTTATCCGTAAAACAGTTTATAATTATGTTATACTACTGTATTGCATATATAAAGCAAACGGTAATTGAAACAAGCCTACTTTTTGTTCTTATTAGCATATTCCAATCCTAGTAAATTATATATCATATAAATGGTATTTATGGTATAAAGCTAAGATGAAAGCAAAACAGTACAAATAATAGAACATTGTATCAGACAGTTTTAAGTGTGAAGATAAAAACAAGCTAGAACTCTTTAGACAGATAAATTTTACATAATCAGTAATTTTTTGACGTCTCTATGATTTGATGTCAGTGCACATTGGTCACTTTTTAAGCCCGGTTTAGAAGGACGTCCTAGATGAAGTAAAGAATCTATATTGCAGGCACGAATTGTCTGACATTTGACTTTTAAACTGTTGAAAATAACAGAAAGTTTGCAGAGGCAGAGTAGCATAGGTTTCGACTACACATCACCTTGCTGGTGTGAATATTTGAGCCAAATTTGATGAAAATCTTACCAGGGTTAGGGTTTGACATGGAATTGTCTGATATTTAACCTGGCCATGAAGCAGCACAGTGGTGACATATGCTACGTCATATTGTTGATGTAAACATTTGAGCCATGATTGAACTTATTTCTTATTTATAGAGCAGACACGAAATTGTCTAACATCTGACCTTCAGATGTGACCATTACCTTTTAAGCTCGACTATTCGATAAGAATAATTAGAGATATTGTAGTCACCCGAGTGTCGGCGTCGGCGTCGATGTCGGCGTAACCACTTATGTTAAAGTGTTTGTAATACCTCAAATATTTTCAAAGTCCATTGACATATGGCTTTGAAACTTTGCACACTTGTTCACAATTATGACCCCAACCTGTAGACAGGAGGAGATAACTATATCAAGCATTATGACAAAATTATGCCCCCTTTTTCGACTTAAAATTTGTAATACCTCAAATATATTCAAAGTCCATCGACATATGGCTTTGAATCTTTGTTTGAGCACTTGTTCACCATCATGACCCCTACCTGTAGGCAGGAGGAGGTAACTGTAACAAGCACTCAGAATTATGTCCCCTTTTCGACATAGAATGTATGTTTAAGTTTTTGTAACACCTCAAATATTTTCATAGTCCATTGACATAATTATGGCTTGAAACTTTGCACACTTGTTCACCATCATGATCCCTAAAAGCTATACAGTCATGTCGGCGTTGACGTTGCCGTTGTCGTCCGCAAATGTGTATCTCGATCATAAATTTTTAAGTTCTTGGTGCATTGTCTTCATACTTGGCCACTACAACCATTAGGAAAGACCTTCAAGTACCTAACCAACCTTGACCTTCAGTCATAAATGACTAAAATAACTGACCTTAAATTGACCTTGACTGTCAAGGTAAAATTAATGAAATTCTCTTGTTTTTTCCCTGTAACTATAACTATGTTATTTATGAATGGATTTACTTCATATTAAGACACAACACCTTTTATGTCAGGACCTTCATTAATATCAAACCCAAATTGACCTTGACATATGTATGACCTTGACCTTGAAAGTCAAAATATTTTATTTTCACTGAATATCGCTATAATTGGCTGTAACTTTGTAATTAATACTTGAACAAAACAACCTTTTGAACAAGACATTTTAAAAGGTTTAACTGAGTCGGACCTTGAACTTTAAATGACCTTGACCGGTAAGGTTTTTATTAAATTTTGGTTAAATTGTCATTATTTCGTTATTTATGCACGGATTTGATTCATGTGTAGACAGAAAAACACTTGTGACCAAACATACATGTGGCATAATTTAGATATGACCTTGACCTTTAAATGACATTTACGTCAAATTATTTGAATTTGATTATATTTGGATAACTTTTTCATTTATCTATGGAAAGGATTAATACTTGGACAAAACAACAAGTGTAAAGAAGCAGACCTATCTAACTTAAAAAAAGGAAAACATATTTTATTTCTTTTATTTTCTTTTCAAATATTTGTTTAAATCGTTTATTTGTTGTTTTTTTAGAGAAAAAAGTAAATAAGTCGAGTGTTGTCCCTGTCCAGCGATTGCTTTTACTGTTTCAACTTGAAATAAAATGCTTTCTTTTCGATTATTTTACGACGCTGGCTGAATTCTTCAACACCGGGGCATTTAACTGTAAGCCAGGTTCTAAATAAAACTTGAATATTTTTCATATAGAATTTGGTATGAATTAACATTAACCTGCAAAATGTTTTAAATTAATTGTTATACTCTTTTAACTTCTTGACGGTTTTTGTAAACACAACATGAACCCAATTTACAAATATAATAACCACACATTATCTCTTACACAATTATAAATTTGTAAAAAGTTTACAGGTGGAGGGGGTCAGTTTACAATGAGTTTTCCAGCTAAAATGTAATCATTGTATTCTTAATATTATTGGATTGTTAATGCAGCTCATTCCTATCAAGTGAAAGAAAATAATTTTTTGGTTACTTTTTCTAGAAAATATAAAGTTTAAACAGTCAGCAATTTATAACAGACATTTTTCTTAGAGTTAAAAGGATATAAATAAGTAACTATGTAATCATTTGTCTCTGTGTGCCCCACATG